CTACCGAATTACATGACAGGCCTAAATTAAGGGAAAAGGGAGAAGCCTTGATGTAGCTGTAAGCCTGGTTTTTAATTTCTACTGGATTGGAATTAACTACTAATGTGAGATAAAGATGTTTCTTAATATCTTAATGTGATCATAGATTTGCCCATGGAATTGTTCAGAGATCCAGGCTAGTTAGAGCCCTCAGGTCAAGTGTGAAATTGAATAGCAGGAGAAAGATGAAGCAATTTCCTAATTATGCCCTACTGGGTCCAGCATGTTTAATACATTAGTTATATTTAAAATCAAAGATGACCATCCAATAATTCTCAACTCCTTTTCATATTCAGCTGTAGAGTTAGAGTTTCACTCACTGAGTCCTAGATAGGGTTTGTTACAGTAATTAATTTTTTGATCAAACTAAGTAAAAAAAAAAGATACTGAACTTAATTCATGAAAAAATCCATCTTTTCATTTATCATTTCACCATTTATTGTAAATCAGAATGAACATCATGGAAGCTATGAAAACATAGCTCTCACACCTCCCTCTGCAGGGAACATGATTGACTGACATCTCCAGCTGCCAGTCTCTGAATCTACCACCGCGTTCATGCCGACGTCATAACATGCCTTCTTCTTGGCCAGTTACTGAGCTTGGCAGGGATACTAAGGCAGGCCCATCTCTGTGAGACACTGAACTCCTTTGATGGGTAACTTGGAACTGCCCTGAAGAAGGTTATTCCAACCCAACATCCCTTCTTTGCTTCTCTCTTTTCTTCACTGAATTCAGATCCGCATCATGGTGTGATGACCCTCCCAGAATTCTCCAGCTACCTCTCCATTTTCCCTGACAGGCATTTTCTCCAATAAATTTCTTTTAGGTCAAACCCTGTTTGGTAGCTATTTCTCAAAGGACTATAACTGACACATTAGATCAACAAGAGTTATTTCTTTTAATATGAAATGCTAATTCTTTGGATTGTCAGTAATGAGTTTTATGCAATTTCCTCACACTTTTTTTCCCCTCACACTTTTTTCGAAGTCCCTGTTCTCTGTATTCCTATTGAAACTTTTAATTTTTGTCCCCATTTTTGCGCTTGCTGCATGATGGTAAGTTAGAATTGTACGTGTGTGAACTTCATGAAGGCAGGGAATTTATGCCTTTGTTCAGCACAATGCCTTTTCTATAATCAAAACTCAGTAGGGACGCCAGTAGGTTAAGCAGCTGCCTTTGGCTCAGATCATGATCCCAGGGTCCTAGGACTGAGTCCCCCATCGGGCTTGCTATGCGGGGAGTCTGCCTCTCCCTCTGCCTACAGCTCCCCCTGCTTATGCTTGCTCTCTGTCTTTCTCTCCCCCTCTCTCTGACAAATAAATAAATAAAATCATAAAAAAACCTCAATAAATATTTTGCAGTGAATGCCTAACTAAAAACAAAATTTTCTAAAGCAGTTAAATAAACAAATTCATCTAGCAGTGTACATAAATCCTTAACCTGTAAGATATATCACATTTTTTTAGTATATGTGCTGCCAAAGTGAGCACAAGATATATCAGATTTTTAATTATCCTTTAAATTCCTTGTTTTCTATTCAGTAACATATTAATAAAACCTATGAAACAAACAAAACAACAAAAAAAGGTGCTTACCTAATGAAGACTGTTGCAGGTACTGGATACATTCAACAAATGTATTATATGAATAAGAAAAATGGAATGCCATAATTCATGGTAGAGAAAAGTTTATTTTAAATGTCAATTCAATTTGAAATACACTTAAGTGAAAGAATCCTAGGAGAAAAATAAGAGAAAAATCTTAGAGAGTAACGAAAGGGACCCTGAGCATTGACATAAAAATGAACATTCAAGGCTTATCTCATATGTCTGATTTAGAAAAGGTCACAGGTCAAGGTTACTTTGTCCACAATGAATCACATACTTCTGGGAGAGATGGTGATGGCGAGTCTTGGTGATGCAGATCATCAGCAATCGCAGATATTGGACAGGCTACATGTTAAGATTTCATAAAGTACAGACATAACAGTGAGATAATGGGGAATATTCAGCAAGTTGATCTAAAAAAGTGAGAGCTAAAGGCTGGTTGGTAACAAGTTGACTGGCAGCTCCTAGAAGAAAAGTAAGTTGGACGACTGAAGTTGGACCCACAGCCCAGAGATTGGAAACCAGTGCTTCCACAACCAAAAGGCCCAAGGCCAATATTTCCACATCCCAGAGACCCCATGTAATTTGTTTGGCAGGGACTGAAGAAGAAGGAATTCTTTGGGCGGAAGCAGGATGTCTGGTAGGGTCTGGCCCCAGCACTGGACGTCCCGCAGCTGGTGGGTTCACAGCAGGTCTCCTGATAGCCACCAAAGACAGAGGAACCCAGCTGGTAGGTGCAGGGAGAGTAGCTTTCATTGCCGGGGTAGAAAGAATCATAGGGGGAACCTGGGTACCCCAGGTAACCTCCAAGAGAGCAGGAGGAGAAGTTTCCAGGGCTGCAATTGTAATGCATGTCGAGTTCTGAGTTCAGCTGAGTTGCAGAGAGGTTTGGTGAGTGTGACTGTTGCCTTCTACCGGATGCTTATATACCCTAGCAATGAGTTAGTAGCATGTGCCCATCTTAATAAGAATGCTTAATTAGTCTCCAGTCAAAATGAAATACATTAACCTTCAAAGGCTTTTTTTTTTTTTTACAAAAGCAAACTTTTAAATGAAAGAATTTCATTAGGTTTTCAAAGCAATTGTTTATGAGTAAAGATGTCATCTCTCATTCAACTAGCTTGGGTAGATGAATATAATTGTATGGTAATTGTCCCTATAAGATTGGTGTTTTATTCATCCTATCCCTGAATTGAATCTGAATGGGTAATACAGTGATAATTGAATCTGAATGGATAATACAGTGAGAATTTTGCTCCGTTTAAAGTTCTAAAAAAATACTTTGTGGTCTGGAGGGCATATTTATTTTGTTCCAAGTTTAGGAACCCAGTTGAGAACAGAAAAAAAAAAAACAACCCCCAGTCCTTAATATCTGTTTCATCTTCCACATCTTGTGGACCTTATAGAAGAAATAACCCACTCTTAATTGGTAGAAAAGCTAAGTGAGTGTCCTACACATTTGGATTTTGGTTTTCTTACAGCACAAGTACCCAAGCTGCTTTTGAGTGTGTAAGTTTTTGATTTAAGAATGAAGGGTCCAGGGCGCCTGGGTGGCTCAGTCGTTAAGCGTCTGCCTTCGGCTCAGGTCATGATCCCAGGATCCTGGGATCGAGTCCCACATCGGGCTCCCTGCTCGGCGGGAATCCTGCTTCTCCCTCTCCCACTCCCCCTGCTTGTGTTCCTGCTCTCGCTATCTCTCTGTCAAATAAATAAATAAAATATTTAAAAAAAAAAAAAAGAATGAAGGGTCCAGGGGCTCCTGGGTGGTTCAGTCAGTTAAGCATCTGCCTTCAGCTCAGGTCATGATCCCAGAGTCCTGGGATTGAGCCCCTGCGTGGGGCTCCCTGCTCTGCAGGGAGTTTGCTTCTCCCTCTCCCTCTGCTGCTCCCCCTGCTTCTGCTCTTTCGTTTGTGCGCTCTCTCTCTGAAATAAATAAATAAAATAAAATAAAAAAATGAAGGGTCCAGGGGTGCCTGGGTGGCTCAGTCAGTTAAGCATCTGCCTTCTGCTCAGGTTGTGATCTCGGTTCCTGGGATAGAGTCCTGTGTGGAGCTCCCTGCTCAGTGGTGAGTCTGCTTCTCCCTCTCCCCCGGGCCCTCCTCCTTATCTGCTCATGCTCTCACTCTCTCTCAAACAAATAAAATCTTAAAAAAAAAAAAAAAAGAAGAAGAAGAAAGTGTCCAATATTTGCAGGAGTACCTTGAAGATTACATTGTAAAAATACTGAAGTCAAGGAATCCTTGCCCTGAACTTGACTTGCTTTTTGATAGAAGTCATTGATAAAATATCAAGCTTAATCCCCATAAAGTTTAAGTAAATTTTTGGTAGGGTTGATGTTTTGAGAACAAAAGAATAAGTACTGCACATTAAAAATGGGCCTTTGTTCTCTTAGTTTCCATTCATAGGGTGGTAATTTTACTGCAGAAGGTAAATAAAATCAAGAAATTAAGAAAGTGTCTACCCGATGTAGACTTCAAGGAACGATCAAGTGTTGGAAGAATTCATAGTTACAAATGATCTTTATAAGTTGATATGGGATGGGAGGGAATAAAAACAGATGATAATGTGAAATAAAGAGTGAATGCCATTGGGACCTCTGATGTGACACATGTATCAAGTGACATATATATTCTGCCTAGAGGACTAGTATCATAAGTATTTTTCTAGACTCTCCCATCAAGTGCGTCATTGACAACCACAAGTAGAGTAGTGCATGGGTGCAGGAAATGGCTTAAAATAACCTGTGGGAGTGGGCAAACCTCATAAGACACCCATCTTCAAAAACTAATATGTTGTTTAATGGAAATGAGCTGAGACTTATTCTAGAAAGAACTGAGATTACTAGGTGGAAGTTTTAAGGGAAGATTCAGCTAAAAATCTAAGACAAGCCACTTTTGTAGATAATGAGATGTCCATCTTGAGGGCACTGGGAATACCTTGTCAGGATATTGTAAATGGAATTCCAGTCTGGTAGGGGACTGGAGATAATTGCTAAATTCCCAAATTGTAAACTTTATGGGTCTGAACATTTTGAGTAGACAAATTGGCTTTCAAGCATGTTTCATTTATCTCTTAAATATAGTTTGTCCTCTGTTTCTAAAATGAACGATTCTTATTTATTAGGCTTCTTAATTATGAATAGCAAAAAGCATTCTACTAGATCCCAAACCTTCCCATTTTACTTGTGAATAAAATACTGAACATCAAAACATGCATATAGGTATTCAACTCACCTAAATTGAATTTGCTTGTTTGCTTCAATGTCATCCACTCTTAGATCAGCTATTTCTATGAAAGAATATTCTATGAGTCAGATATTCGGTAATTTTTGAACATTCTCTCCTCAACCAAATGGAGGATTTTACATTCCAACCCTTTTGTTCAGGAGTGGAAGGGAAATGCTTTAGTGTGAAAGGAACGAATCGAACATCACAGAAGCCACAGGAAGATAAACCTTCTCAATCTCTCCTCTTCCTCAAGGTATCAATCTTCATTAGCCTACTACATAGAAGTGGAATACAAGTCATAGAACAAGAAAAAAAATGACCATTATTTTAGAAATTTTGTAATACTTGTCAGAAACACCTGAAAACAATTTAAGTCAAAGTGATGTATGTTGCTTTCTGAGGCAAGGAAGAATCTCCTTAAGATGGTTCCTTTGGTCTAATACTTCAAGGCAATTACCTTATAAACTTTCTTTAGAACAAGAACATTTTCCAGGTTCTGGGGAATTTTTTTAGTGATAAACACTGCCTCTGATTAGAGATAGAAATACATGGGGGTGTTTTTGTCACATCTTTGTGATTTTTTAATGCTTTTTTGGATGAATCACCTCTAACATTCCAAAATAATATAAAGCGATTTTAATATTTAATGTATGCCACCATAAACACACACACAAAAGGAAGAAAAACTAAGATCGACTCCTATAAGTCTGCCCACAGTTTAAGCAGGAACATGGGAAATAAGGGAACCTCAGTTAATATTTCACCGAAGCTGTTCAAATTGAGATCTGATTAAAAAAAAAAAAATCCTCATACATCTTGCATATTACCCCTGCTGCTTCCTGACGACATTATTCATTAAGTAAACTTGCTTGACAACAATCAATGTGTGTTTTTGTTTAAAAGAAATGACTATGAATGGATCAGTTAGTTAGCAACTTTGCTATCCAGATGGCAACAATTTTGAGACAGATTGTGAAAGGGGTATCAATTATTTTTAGTTAAGCCAGCTTTCCTCATCCCAGACACTGTCTACCTCTGAAGCAGTTCTCTGAGTGATCTGCTGGGTGACCTTTGGCAGAGGGAGATGACTAATAGCTTTGAAGATTCAACACTATTACCTGAATTCCAAGGCACAAACATTACTGCACTTTCCAGTTGTAAAACCACAAACACTACATACGCTTGATTATGATGAACGTTTCAGTTCAATTAAAAGCAGAAGGTAACCTGTTTTTATGTATCATGTAGCTGGCACACCCAATGATAAGGGTATATAAATGCCCCAGTCCAAGAAGTGGCATTCAAACTCAGAACCTTCTCTTTGTACAGCACATCTCCTCTCACCATATCTTACAACTGCTGCTCTGGAAACTTCCCCTCCCAGTCCCTTGGGCAACACCTGTGCTACCCAGGATCTTTCTGTGGCTCATCCTACCCCAGCAACCAATTCTGCAACACCAACCTCCGCTCTCCCAGCACCTGTCAGCTGGGCTCCTCCCTCTCCAATGGCTGTCAGGAGACCTGCTGTGAGCCCACCAGCTGCCCGATGTCCTACCCGGTGTCCAAACCCTGCCAGATGTCCTGCTACCCGTTGAGGACCTCCACACTCTTCAGTCCCTGCCAGACAAATTACACCGGGTCTCTGGGCTTTGGCTCCAACGGCTTTCAATCTTTGGGTTGCGGCTCTCCCTCTCTGGGCTTTGGATTGGGTGCTTTCCAATCAGTGGGCTATAGTCCCAGTGCTTTTTCATCCCTGGGGTGTAGATCCAGCTTTTACCGTCCACTCTACTCTTCTAGAAGCTGCCAGTCTGCTTTCTACCAACCAACTTGTGGATCTGGCTTCTACGAATCTTATGTTTGAGCATAATACCTACTATGTCTAGAAATTTACCACAATACCAGCTATGTCAAGATCCATGCTATCTATCGATCTCTGTCCTAACATTAGCTTACAAATTTGACTTGTATTGTTACCTATTATGGTTTAGCAATAATTTGAATTCCGGTAATCGGAAAACACATTCACTGAAGAAAGATGTCAGAACAGCTTTCTTGTAGTTATATAAACATGCAATATTGAAACATGTTTCTTTCTTAATATCTTTCTTAATATCTCCTAGTTATTTCTCCTAGTGCATTTATTTAAAATTTTACAAAATGGAAAAATGCAAGTGTAAATAAAAATATGTTACATGGCACTCGCATATATGTTTTTATATGATCTGTTTACTCTGTGTCTTCAAAACTACTTCTAAATACCTGACTGGATATTTCTGTATTTGTATTTATCATTCAAAAATTTTTTACTTAAGGGGTGCCTGGGTGGCTCAGTCAGTTGAGCATCTAGCTCTTGATTTCAGTTCAGGTCATGATCTCAGGGTTGTGGGATTGAGCCCCACATCGGGCTCTGTGCTCAGCACAGAGTCGACCTCTACTTCTCCCACTGCTCCTCCCCACTCGTGCTCTCTCTCTCTCTAAAATAAATAAATAAATAAATATATATATATATTTTTTTTCTTTTACCTTAAAAAATAAAATCATCAACTGTCTTTTTGGTTTGAAAGAAATTATTTCATCTTTAATGTCCACTCCATACCTTCATATGATAAAACCTAGAAACACATTTTTAAGACTACAAACCATTGTGGCCTTTTGTTCTCTATGGAGTTCGAAATTTCAGTGTTTTTACATAAAATAATTACAAATTGTAATGGGTATTAAATACACTAATAATTTTGGAAAGGAGGTTACTCCAATAAAATATATCCTAAAGTACATGCAAAAGTGGAGTTAAGCTCTCCAGTAGGAAGTTAGACGTTCCAGTCCAGTCACCCCACTCAACTGACATAAGAAATCAAGTCTCAAGTGTTGAATCACTATATGGTACACCTGAAACTAATATAACACTGTATGTTACCTACACTGGAATTAAAATAAAAACTAAATAATAATAATAATGAAAAAAAATCAAGTCTCTAAATGAAATATCTAATACATTCCAACATTTATTAGTAAGTAGGCCCAATATCGCCAGTCCTGTAGGTCTGATAAAGTCCCAACTTGCTCCTGCTTTTCGGTTGTTCGGTTACTAACACTTGTTTGAAAACAACAGCAACAAAACAAAACTCAAGACCAAGGCAAATATTCTATTGTTACAGCATTCAGCTAAACATCCAGGCAGCTGATAACCCCGGAATCAGCAGTTCTGCCCCAGACTTTTATCCACTAAGTCAAGGCATAGATAACTAGGTTCTTTTTTTTTTTTTAAAGATTTTATTTATTTATTTGAGAGAGAGAGAAAGCATGAGGTGGGGAGGGTCAGAGGGAGAAGCAGACTCCTCGCTGAGCAAGGAGCCCGATGCGGGACTCGATCCCAGGACTCCAGGATCATGATCTGAGCCAAAGGCAGTCGCTTAACCAACTGAGCCACCCAGGCGCCCAGATAACTAGATTCTTACCCATAGGGTAACCATATGTCTTTGTTCATTCTGTTTGTCTCAGCGTCCAGTCTCATTTGGTAATGGTCTTAGATTTTTTTTTTACTTTTTATTTATAATGAGTGTTAATTGAATTAGCATAAGTGAGATTGGTTTGGGAGACTTCCACTTTGGTCATGCTTTTAGCTCGTGAAGTATAAGATGCATGCATAGTGAGCAGAGTTTTTACTTTAATCAACATTAAATCTGAAAGAAGACAAGCCTTCTCCTATCCTTTCCTTTGTTCCTTCTTTTTTGAGTAAAAGAGAACTATAGCTTTTCTTTCAAAGACAGTGTGCAGAGGGATCACTGAAAGACAAATTACATTCAGATACAAGCGGTAGGACCGCTCATACATTCAAATCGTGGTGGAGAGTCATTTTTTTTCCTAACCTAGCCAGTAAGTACTACTATGGCTCTTTCCATAGGCCTCAGGAGGCAATAATATACACCAAGTTACCAGTAGGTGGAGATAATGAGAAATTTGGGAATTACTGATGGGTTGTCCATGAAATACAGCATGAAATTGAGGCTGCCTTGCAGTACATAAAGAATAATTTACATGCTCTTGCTGGGGTGGCTTGACCATATATTGTTTAAATCTGCAACTATTCTTTTTGTCTGAGAACGTCTTTCTTCTTTAAATTTTGCAAAACATTATTTTTAGGAGCAATGAGCTAAAATTGAAAGTTCATCTTCAATGAAAAAAGTGATTATAGAATTTCTATTCCTAAAGCAAGTCGATGGTGAATATTTAATTTGTATAACAATTTGATGCCATTTACTATCCCCCATGGGGGTCAGCAATGTCACTGACCACATGAAAAGTTAGAGACAATTTTGCTGAAAAAGCATCAATGACTACTTCAAAAGAAAGTAGAAGTGTTTTGTGAGGTTTTGTGTGTGTGTGTGTTTATTTATTTATGTAAGTGAGTATGTAAGTAATCTTTACACCCAGTGTGGGGCTCAAACTCATGACCTGGAAATCAAGAGTCACATGCTCTTCCGACTGAGCCAGTCATGCTCCTCCAAAGTAGAAGTTTTTTTAAGATGATTGTGATGAAATACTCTCTAAAGGCCTGATATACAAAAGAAGCCATTTTAGACTTCTAAGTCAGCATGACTGTACATAAACTTTGTTCAACCAGAAGCCTGATTTATGGCCCACCATGCATGTACTGCACATCTGCTTTGTGAATGAGTAGTCTAAAGGAAAGCCATCTTGTCCTTGAGAAATTGATCAGTGCTCCTACTCCCCGAATTCCTTGATGTTAAAACTTGGGATTTCTGCCTATATGCTCATCTACAATTTTTTTGAGCTTTTCCAAGATGTAGAAAAGCCTATGATCCTGTAAAGACTGTTCATTTTCTGGAGCACTTTCTTTCTCCTGAAGATCCTGGGCAGCTGTCCTAACTGGGGCTCGAATAAGACTCTATTTTCTTTCTGTATTTGAGTTCTCTTTCTGGTAAATTTGCGTCACCAGTTGCTTCCAAAGATGATAATTTATTGTTAGCAGTTGCAAAAGATGTGTTAATAGATCACTGGGTTGCATATATTTTCATTGAGGTCAAATAGCTATTCTAAATGATTTTCACTCATGTTAAACCCTAAGTTTTCCCGTGCATGCAAAACAACACACACACAAAAGCAATAGCTGTTGGTGTGCTCTTCTATTAGCAGCAGTAAAACTTCACTAAGGATTAGATGGAGGCAGTTTTATGTCTGTATTGTCAAATGCTTCACGTAGAAAATGAACAAATTCTAATAATGGTTTGATTCCTTCATTCATTTGAAGGGGAGCAAAATCTGCCACCTCAAAATATTCCTCCTTGTCATGTCAATTATTTTAAGCTGGTTATTTTTAAGAAAATGCAGGCACAAAAGAAGATATGACAATTGAGTAGAAATTACCCTTTTATTAGATAGATTTATATTCATAAGGGAAACCTCTGTTTGTAAGATGTCTCCCACCCTGTGCCAGGAAAAGGGGAAGGATTCAACAGTCTAAGAACTCTTGTCAGTGGAGAAGGTGAGGACCTCAATCTGCATAATAACTTCAGACTTGTTTACTGAGCTTTTCCTGGTCGCCTCCATAACTGACTCCCTACCCCCAATATCTTCCTTTGTCTTTAGCTGAAGATGGTATTTAAGGTGATGGCTTTGGCCATTTCAAGGGGTTACTCGCCAGCTTAGAGTTATAAAGTTATTAAACTTTTGTTTTACTTCTGTTCATCTGTTTTAAATCAATTTAATTATTAGACCAGCCGAAGAACCTCAAGCATAGAAGTAAAATGTTCTTCTCTCCAGCACAGTATCTTCATACTGTATCCAAGTATCCAAGTATCCAAGTAAAGTTCATAATGTTCTGATTGACAATGTTAATGTCAAGTTATTTAAAAAGGTCAACATTGAAGATAAAATTATTGGTTGCCTCAGTAATAATAATAAAAAAAAAAGCAAATCTGGTAAAGGACAACATCTTGGTAAAGACAAGTAAGATTCCTATGGAGAAGAAATAACAGTTTTTAAATATTGTAAACAAATAACTCATAATTGTATCCAAACAAATTGCAATATTCTGCTAATGAAAGTGGAGGCAGTAGTTTTAAAACTTTAAAAGCAGTCATGTGTACCCATAGTAAATTAGTTTGGCAATCAATGCTTTTCCTTACCTCATCAATCACCTCTGTTGTATTATTATTCTTGTGCCTTTGTGTTGCTGTTTTTTAGGCTGTTAGTATGCTATTTTACATAATAAAGCACACACAAGAGATTTTCTTCTGTTTCTTGCTTGGGCTACTATTCTGCCAAACTAGATTCTAAATGCCCCCCCCCTCCTCAGCCCCACATACCTATGCTACTTCTGAGCAAACAGTATTCCTTTTCTCTACTCAAGGACTTCTCCATTTTACTCAGATTGCCTCCACTCCTTCAACCTGACTCATCAAGATGGGAATGCAGTTTACAGTTTCTGGGAGATGTCACAAGATTTTGGCAATTTTACTTTTTTTTTTTTTTTTAATTTTCAGAGAAAAGCTTCTAGGAGCAGCAGTGTTTGTTGGGGCATTTGAAGGGAAATTAAGAAATCTGTCAAGTTACATAAGAATCACCTTTATCTTCTTATTTAGTTTATTTTTTAAAAATTTCAACAAGAAGCTGATCATCTCTAATTTTTGGTTGCTGATATTGAACTTGAATATACCAAGTAAGACGTGAGAGGGTTTTTTTTTTTTTTTTAAGTTATTTTTGTTCAGAGTGTTAGGTATTGAGGAAGGGAACATCATGATGTGACACTAATAATAATAATTAAAGTGAAGAATATAAGATTTGTCACAGGACTCAGGATTTCCAGGGATCTCTTCCTGAGAGGTAGTCAAATATTTT